ATTTATTTACATTAACTGCCATACTTAAAGTTTGCTCTGTAGGTAATACNCAAGTTGAATTTTGTGAACAAATTGTTAATGAATTAGAGCAACATGGCGCAATGAATGTATTTTTATACACTCACTTTATTAATAATTGTATTTGGAATGATGATTTGGAAAGAGCATTAGCAATTGTGTTGAATATGAAAGGCAAAGATATTGAACCAAACTATGCAATTTATATCCCACTTTTAAAAGCAGCCACTGTTAAGAAAAACATTCAAGTTGGAATGACACTTTACCAACTTGTAAAAAAGAGTAATTTAGCAAGTCCTCAATTATCAACGACAATTATATCATTTGCATTGAAATTAAGAAAACCAGAGTTGGTAATAGAAGAAATTGAATTAGTGAAACAACAAAAATGGATGACAATCATAACATGGAATAGTTTAATTCAAGCATATATTCAAGAGAACAATATTAAGAAAGCGATTGATGTTATTCATGAAATGAAAGATAATGGTATTTGTCCAGATTCGGCAACTTTTAACATTCTCATAACAGCTTGTGCTAATACCAAGTTATTTGCAGAAGGAAAGTTGATTCACAAAATTACAACTAACACTTTGAAAGATAATTGCTCTGTTGAACTATTGACATCCATTATTAATTTTTATACAAAATGTGGACATCCAGAGATTGCAATCAACGAATGTGAAAAGATGAAATCAAAGGGATTAATGAATGTTGTTTCTTTTACATGTCTAGTTGAAGCATACATTCAAATAAATGAAATACAAAAAGCCATCGACACAGTTACTGAAATGAAACAATTCAAGGTTACTCCAAACGCTACCACATTCTCCATTTTGCTTACCGCATGCGCTAAGTTGAAATTATATAAGGAGGGAATATTGATTCACAAAATTGCAAATAATACTTTGAGAGATAATAGCTCTCTTAAACTTTTGACATCAATTATTAATTTTTACACAAAATGTGGACATCCAGATATTGCAATTAATGAATGTAAAAAGATATCAAAAAGTATTATGGATGGAATTGTTTAATTCAAGCATATATTCAAAATAAGGAAGTTCGACAGGCAATTGAAATAATCACAGAAATGCAAGATTATGGTGTTGAACCAAACTCTACCACTTTTAACATTTTACTCACAGCGTGTGCTGATTCAAAATTGTTTGAAGAAGGAAAGGCAATTCACAAACTTGCAACTGGCACCTTGAAAGATTACTCTTCTGAACTTTTAGCATCTATTGTCAACTTTTACACAAAATGTGGACATCCAGAAACAGCCATTAAGGAATGTGAACAATTGAAATCGAAAGGATTAATGAACAATATTGTTTGGAATTGTTTAATTCAAGCATATATTCAAAATAAGGAAGTTCGACAGGCAATTGAAGTAATCACAGAAATGCAAGATTATGGTATTGAACCAAACTCTACCACTTTTAACATTTTACTTAAAGCATGTGCTGATTCAAAATTATTTGAAGAAGGTAAATTACTGCATCAAGCATCTGGTCAAGTGCTCAATAATCCTACAATAGAGTTGAACAATAGTATAATTAATTTTTACACAAAATGCGGACATCCAATAATAGCTATTGATCAATTTGAAAAGATGAAAACCAAAGGAT